CCATTGGTATAATACAGCCACAAGTGATCATTTGTCAAATCGATATCTCCAATTAACACTACGTCAAGTTTATTTGTTGGTAATTTTCTATATTTTTACTAACAGCCATATTTATTTACTAATATTATGCTCCCCGAATTTTCTGAAAAAAAAACAAAGAAACAAAAAACAAAATAAAAACAGAACATGTCCAAAAATTTAAAATGACGAATTGTTCATTGGAGGTATTGAAATTATGCGTGAAAAATTTTATAATTCTCCTATTTAAGCATAAAATTCGTAGCAGTAGAACTCCTTGTGAAAGAGTTCGTCCAGGGAAGTACTGCCATCTTCCCTATTTCTGCCGCCAAGCAGTAATGTGCACATTACTGCGTGACGGTTTTGAAGGGTAAGGGTGCTGGTGAAATTACAGGCACATGAGACTTGTCAACTTATGTCTCAGGGTGACGGTCGCAGTGAGAGTGCTCCTAAGATCTTTGCAATTTAAAGTTCTGAATGGTTCTGCAACTGTTATGGACAGGCATTCGCTTTCCACCAGGCGCGCACGACTTGTTCTTCCCGTCACTTGATATTAAAAAAAGATATTTCTTCAAACAAATCAGCGTTTTGGGTTCTTTACAGATCCCTTGGTGTGATCACGGTCATAGATTGAAAAAATCAAATATACACGCGTTTTATTTTCCAAAAAAAAAATAGTTTCAATAACTGCCTCTGTGGCCAAATGGTTACTTGCCGGACTGCTACGCAGAGGTCCCAGGTTCGATTCCCGGGCCGGGAGAAATATTTGTAAGGCCTACATTTATTTATCTCGTAAGTTTGGATGTAATTTGTGATTGTCTATATGTGTGTCCATGGCACCCGCGACACAGGGCTTCCCTAGTGCGGGGCTATGTTGAGTGTGTGCGTTATTATATGTAGGTGTAGATACGTAGGTGTTTTGTAAGCGAAATTTCGAAAAACTTTTATAAAAAAAAAAGGTTTAAACGACTGTTTTAAAATATTTACGTCCTGTTTTAAAATTTAATTTTGGTTTTATTAAATTTAAGTTTCTAATGCCCTTTCTATAAAACACCGACAATATGTTTTATTACTCGTATGGTTACATGGATCTAATAATTAACTTTATTATTTTCAAGTTATAATTCTTTTTTAATTCGTCTTATATTGTTGCCATTGTGAGAAGTACTTAACTGTTAAACTTAAAAAGTAAATAAAATATATGATCGTAATGTGCGTATAAGATAAACGAGCAAAGTCAAAGCCAATAGCTAGTAAAGAAGTTTATGAAATACGAAGTCCGGATGTCGAAACGTGAATGAATGATAATTAAGATATTCCAATGCTCCATTATTGTTTGATGAGATATCTCGTTTTTGTAGATTTATAAACACGTTTGCTTTCTCCCGTTAGACCATTTGTTTTGTTTAGCAAGGTAGGCAGTTGAACTGGGTTTGCTCGATATGGGAAAAGATTTTGCATGAATTCATCGGGGAAGAAAGAGTAAATACCAAACTACAATCAAACTACAAAAAAAATTTTGATAAAAATTTGCTTTTACGCCCTTTCTTCTCCGAAGTATCAACCGGTCAATAAGATTTTTTTGCAAAATGGTCGTCTTTAATTTTTTTATTACTCAATAAAGTAAATGGTTAACGATATTTCTACACACTGGATATGAAACTATTTGTCCGAATAAAAAACCGCGTAGGTATATTTATTTAAACAAACTAACGTTTCGGGATCTTTGACTTAGACTCTATATATATTTAAACGTCGTTGTCAAGAAACCAACCTATGTCAGACGCCAAGCATTAATGTGAGCCTCTGATTTTGAAGAGCACCTAAGGATGCCAGTGAAATTAAAGGCTTTTGGTATTTAAAGTTCTAAGTGACATTGCAACAACTGTTATGGGTGTACCAGGTGCATGACTTATTTGTCCCGTTACTTGATATTATTAAAAAACAACCAATCAGTAGGGATAGCACGATAGTGCGCGAGAGCGACATAAAGATATAATAGAAATATCGCGCTTTATGTCGCTGCGGCGCAAATCGGGTCATGCTAGTACTGGTGTCTCCAACTAGAGATTTACAAAAAAACTACCTGGCTAAACTAAAAAAAATAACGAAAGGCGCAAATTGTTGAAATCAACATCAGAAAGCACTGATTATGATGATAAGTTCATTAACACTATATTTTTGTAAATGAAAACCTGATGATAAAACCGTTACGTCGAAGACGGTTCATAACCCGCGGAAAACGTGTTAACTCCCCAACCCGCAATGCGTCAGCGAAGAGTGGACAGACCGCCAATGGTCTAACGATATCATCAGATTTGTGGTATTGCGCTGAATGCGGATGGCGTTAAGTTGGTCCAATTAAGAAGAGGCCTATACCCAGCAGCGGGTTCAATATCTAATACAAAGTTACATGCCAATTATTGGAATCGTGTTGTAATGCCATCGTGGTTGTCGTTTAAAACGGTACTAAAAAAATTGCAATTAAAACCCATACACGTTTTTCTTTGACCGCGTACATTTAGTGTTAAAATAAAGATACCTAAGCATAAACATGTAACCTGTAGTACTATCATGAATTTCAAGTGTAAGTGCTACGCTCCGTAATTTTTTTTTTTTCCTAATTGTACAGCACTCCTAGCGGTCACAAGAAGAACTACAATTTATAAATAAATTATGCAAGGACGGTAGGAACATCAACATCATGTCAAAGGAAAAGAACCTACATCCCTTAAGCAATAGGATGTCAAGTCCAATATTTTGGTGTCACAAAAGGACGAGACGAGATAAATTTAAAAGACTCTTCGTACGCAAAAACAAATAAACAAACAAACACACATCAGTAATATTACAAATCGTACAAACTGATGATTTCCAAAATTCCGGTAAATTTGTTTTTAGCGTTCATATAACATTTTATAGCCCGCTCGTGCGCTCGATGGGCTTTTCAGTCATTTACATGGGCCTTAGAATAGTAAGTACTCTTTCGAGAAAGTGTGCCTTTGTGTTCATTAGCCATCTTTTATTGCTGTAGTTTTGAGTTAACCTTAATATTTTTGAAGATCATGAGTTTGTATTAACTTAACTGCCTCCACATTTGAATAGTGCCTTTACGTAAACCTAATTAAGGCATTTAATTCAGCTAAAAATAATCAAGTAAGTTTTTTTACTCAGGCAATATAATGTTTTTCACTTACGACTCTACATTTTAATTTAAATAATACCTTCCTTACTTAGTTTTTCTTCTGGAAGTTTTTATTTGCTATAGTAACATCACTTGCTGTAAACTACGTATCGTTTATTCTTGAAAGTCACACTTTTTCGTCGTACTGATATTTAGAATAGATTTTTAAAAAGGCGCAACTCGTGTGCTGCCACCTAGCATAAAGTAGTTACATTAAAATGACAATTCCTAGGCCAGGACGAATCTTTGCATTCACTCGCTACTCATCACTAGATGTCGCTACGACAAGTTACTAAAGTGAATCCACCAACTCGCGTATCCAAATACATTTTGGAGGTATAGACAATTTTATATTTCTACTTGGTCTAGTGGTCTAGAGGTCTGTGGTTGACTCTGGCCTTTGTTTGTTGACTGTTGTTGAGAAAAAATATTATAGTTTATCAATTAAACGCGAAGCGCGCGACCGTAACGCAGTCCGTACAATGAATAATCAATTAATAGAAAAGTTAATAAAATACAGCAGCAATACTTGTCCACAGTTCAACTTCGAAAACCCGTTACTTGACATAAATGTGTCACGAGCACTAGCCAAGAGTTTAGTGAAGATACTTCAAGATTCCCGTGAAGATTCCACGGTGAATATCAACTTACGGCGATCCGTACTCGAGAATATTCGGAAACTGTGCACTGTAGAGCCGGAAAATCATATAAAATTGACTGACGACTTTACCGAAATGATATCGGAGTCGTACGAAAAAAAATTTAACTATTCACTATCCCCTGTAGATAAAATGCTGGATGAGTTCCTTATCAAGAATTCGCTGGAAGATAATATCAAGTCACGATTCGAAAATTCATTAAGCCCCGAATCTATCCGAGCTTTGCTGAATTTAGATTTGAGAAACCTTGATGTATTGTCAAAAGATATTATCCATTGGAACGCAAATGACGAAAAATACTATAGCGTGTTAAAAGACTTGTGGTATAATAATCTATCGGATTTAAATAAGGAAAGCATTAATAATTTATGCATTAAAGTTAAGCCAGAAATTGAAAGAATTGTTCTAGAACAATCTCTGGCTGTTTTGGAAAATAAAGACTTAGATGAAATATTCTCGGTAAATAGCTTTGAGAATGTTGTAAAAACTTGTGCAATATCAACAATTTGTTTCCAGATATGTATTGGTACTTTGAATCGTGTGTTAATAGCCTGCAACCTTGATAAAATTATTTTAAATTTTATTCAAAGATTTGTATGTCAAGTAAAGAAAAACTGTGTTTACATGTCTACTCTGTACCCTTTACAATTGTCAAGTGCTGCACTTTTCCTAGATATTGACTTAACTTGTATGCCAAAAAATGTTAAGGATAAATATATAGGACACGCAATTGAATACATAAAGAATGTGCATAAACAATCTGAATACGATTTGATATTAATATTATCTCATTATCCACAATGGTTTGATATCTATTTTCACAGTACAAATGAGAGAAGCGAAGGTGAACAGAATTAATAATGTTTATTTGTGACTGCCAACCAGCTACACAAGCATTAGTTTAATGACATCATTAAGAAACAAATATTTCCTTTTATATCTAATGTTTTCCTTTCAAACATTTGTAACAACAATCACTAAATGTTATTTATAAGACCATTGACTTACAAATAAAAGGACGACGGGTCTAATACAAAAACCACGAAAAAAATGTCCCAAGTCAACCTATTCGAAATTTAAATTGTAATGTCATCGCAGTATCATCGCGCTGTCAATAGAACAAATGAAGACTAAAGCGGAGTTTGGCGCTCTGTATACGATTTTAGCGCCTTACAAGTGCGGACACTTTTTAGCGCGGACCCGACGTCCATATAATTGTAAGTCAATGTATAAGACTATTATTATTGATACACAGATATCGTAAATGACATGTGAGGTTTGATAAAGATATAAAGATTGAATTCTCTTTTATTGACAATAAAACTGTAGTCAAAAGCCAAGACTTATAAATACTAGGCAACTATTTCAGGTTCTATATGTACAAAGCAACCTTTATTACCATCACTTGTCACATAGGGTCTCGTCAAAAAAATTTGAACAAATACTTTGATGTTGCTGTTTATACATATAAATAAGTGTTCAGATCCCACGCTGACAGATTTAAGAAGACCCTTATTTACTTAAGTATAACTCTTGTATAATTAGAAAATAATCTAGGTAGTGCAGAGAGCAAAGTCGACTTATAAAAAATATCAAAACAGTCTCATTTCATGTATCTGCAAAATATGTTAATTCTGCTACATTCAACATATAATAGAGTTTTCAAAGTTATTTGCCATTTAAAACTGTATCACTGACTGCAAAACTGATAAGGTAGGACTTGCGTAATTTTATGTAGTTATTCTTGTATTTCTGATGAAATATCAACCATAGCTCCATCTGCACATAGTTTTAACTGAGAAGGTAAAACTTTTCCATATATTCTAAGTCACTTGGCAACTTGTTTACAGTACTTATTAAAAAAATAGTTTTGGGAAAAAATAGCAACAATATTATTAGTTAAAAACTAATTGAAAACCAGGTGCCTAATCGAGAACGTCCATAGCATTCATAATATGAATGGACTCTGGAGGGCAATTGAAGTATTTGGAAATGGCAAACTTGAGCATATGCATTGCATTCATGGTTGAATCCTTATGTTTCCAGCTCTTGAAATGTTTATTCAGAATTTCCCAGTCTGGGAATATTTGATTACAAAAACCACAGTGGTACAGGCTTGGGCGAATCTGGAAATAAATATACATTATTACACAAATGGTCAGGCATCATTAAAATAATGCACTCACTGAAATTAGATTTGTAACATATTATTTTCCATTATTATATTTTTTATACTATCATAATATATTTTAGTATAATATTGTCATATATTATTTTAAATAGCAAATAGTTTGTAAAGTGTAAAGATGAATAAATTTAGAAGTTTCATCCGCGCTTTTATTTAAAAATCTAATCTCAATCTATTATCCGTAACCATTACATTAGAGTTGTGTTTACCTCTCTAATAAATTCGTCTTTAAATGATGTGATAACTTGAGCTTTCATATAATCCTGTTTATGAACTAACTGGAAATGTGTTGTCATCTCTGAGGAAATCACTTTTTCACATAGGAAGCACCGCATTTTGTCTTTGTCGTGGTCTAATGGGCTCAAGAACATGAAACTGAAGATGCTCACACACATCTCCTTATTCACCCAAAATGCACTGATTTCTTTAATATGCACAAAACATTTTACATATTGTAACAACGGCTTGGTAGTATACCTATGCTTCTCAGGCTTTTTGGTCTTTTTAACTAGGCCTCGTGTTTGTAAGAAGCCTTGGTGCCGTGCCCCCTTTACATGTTCTTTGAAATTCGTCATATGAGCAGAAATATATGTGAAACAGATGCTACAATAGCCCTTTGCTCCACCGGATATCAGTTTTATATGATTATCTTTACCATACAACTTCAGTTCGTGTCGCAATTTGCCATGATCTGGGAATAGTAGCAAACGGAAGGCTTCCTCATAAACTTCTATTTGGTCTTTCTTTTCAGGAACTGTGCTATCTCTGTGTAAGTTCCTATGGCCATAAACTGATTGAAAAGTAAATGGCATAGTTTGCTTGCAGATTCTGCAGGTCACAAGGCCATTTTCTTTGTCAACGTCGAAGTATTGAATGCGCTTGCCCTCAGTTTCACCCGTGTTGCTTTTAACTCCTGTGTGCATTTCATTGTTCCAATGATCATTTAGTGAATCAATTGGATTAATTTTCTTGCATTTGAAGCAATAGAATATTTTGTTATCCAGCTAAAAGACAAAATTAACAAGGCAGTGTTGTTATTCAATTGTTCACATATTTAAACCATTTATTTACACATACATTAACTAGATAATTTACATTTTACATTGTTTTTGCAAGCTGTGTTCACTCTTATGTAGTTGTGCAATTTAGATAAGAAGTTCACCAAATTGAATTTATATTATGTTACATTGTAATAACTGTAAGTGAACCAATAAACTAAAATAATAATAATAAAGACTAGGTATTTAAAAATGTTTTAAAAAAATGTTGGAATAATAAATGATATGTAAAGTTAGATTATTCACATGACTAACTATGATAAGAAATGAGCCCACTTCTACATGCATAAGATCTATCTGATTACATAATTTAAAATAGAAGTTTATAAAATTATTTACTACTAGACTATATCTATGTGGGTAGGTATTATTTTAAGGATAATATTTGTTCTATGGGAAATTTAAGGGAGTAGTTTGGGAAATTAGATTTTCTAAATTAGTTCTAGTTTGGGTATTCTGGGCAGTGCTATAGAGTGAATTCCGATTCTCCGGTACTCATAGTATAGGGAATTAAATAGTTCGGGTTCAGGCTCAATAATTGATGTGTGTGGCACATCATTGTTATTAATTTGAAAATTAATTTAATGTTCTGAAGATAATGACAAATGCTATTATGATAATAAAGTTATTTACCTCTCTATAGTATTGGTCCTCATTCTCACATTTCAATTTAGTCTGAATAAGGTTCACCATATGACTGGAGCTACCAACGTGATCATCTACGTCTTTCACAGCACTATGACATACCACACACTCTTTACCCAGTATACCATGCCACTCATTCAGTGTAATGAAGCTTTTACCAATCTTGACATAGTTTGATTCTCTTTTCACTTGTGAAACCTTGAGTTCAGTTGGTGGGTTTGCTTTATTGGTAGCATGGGAGTCTTCTTTAAGATGCGTTTTAATAGCGTCGAATTTGGGTGCTACGAAGTTACAGGTTTCGCAGTAATATTTTGTTTCTAGCTGGAATAAGTGTAAGCATTGATAATTTAACACCTGACCTTACTCGTGGTTGTTAACTGGATAGGCAGATACGTCTAAACCCCTTTCTACCCTACATCCTAAGAACAGACGGGTAAATAGAGAATCAACTATAGAATTTTGGGCTATTAACTAGGTATGAAGCATGATGGACATTTGCCATTGTTCTGCAGAATTTAATGGTGAGTAACGAGTGATTAGTTCACACTAGATACTGCTTTTAAATAACTATGTGTGGTAGACGGAAAGTGATTGTAAACCATTCAAGATTAATTTGAGCATACCTTGTAAACCAGTTCTTTTTTGAACTTAGGGAAATATTCCAAACTCTTGAGGATCTTCCTGTGCTTCTCCCAACGGATGTGTTTTTCTACATCTTCAACATTCTGAAAGGATTCCTCACACAAAAGGCAAAAGAAATCTATTTCTCCGCAGAGAATGAAATTCTTGTAATATTTGATCATTGTAATCTCAGATTCCTAATTATCAAGTCTTGCCTAGACAATGAGTGAAGCTTCGCTTTAAGTTTAGCTTTACCAAATAAATCAAATTTTAGAGGGTACCATTAATTGAACGATTTCACCTCTACCTCTGATGACCACGACAAGAAATTAGCGCCAAAAATTAATAGTAAAATTTTTCGTTCTTTGAGACAAAGGGGTCTAAAGCACAGCCAACTCTTAAATTCGCATTTTCCTTCTATACCATATGGTATGGTGAACTTCTGCCTACCCAAATAAATGGGTGAAAACCAACGCTATCTGTGTCATAGCGTGTAAAAACTTTATAGTCGCGCCAAAAACGAAACTGGGTTATGATTAGAAATATGTTTATTTATTGAGCGTTGGTTGTAGAGTCATCCATCAGCCTAAAAATATACGAAATAATTGAACATTTATACGTAGGTATGTAGGTATACGTAAAAAAGCATTTAGCTATTATTTAGTCAATGAAAGAGGCAGTGTTGATATAGACCTTCGAAATGCTTGTATTTCTAAAAAAATATTGTAATTTCTTTTAATAACAAAAGAAGAAATCATACCGTCTGCCCAACAGTGACCTTTGGAACAAAATTCGCTGGGATTTTTTTTTGCTTTCTGGGAAGCTACTTATATAATAAACTAAATAATGTACTGGCCTTTTACCCTCTGACTAGACATGAGTGTAAGAATAAAATAACAAATTGGTTACTCAATCTCGATTATCAGACTACAGAAGATCTTATGTATTGATTTGGAATTTATGTACTCTGCGTGCATGCACGCGCACACGCACACGCACACACGCACACACACACACGCACACACACACACACACGCACACACACACACACACACACACACACACGCACGCACGCACGCACGCACGCACGCACACACACACACACACTCACACACCACAATTATCATCATTTTATTAGTATTATTATATTATAATTAATTCTGTAATAGCTTACAATAATTGTAAAAATTGATGTTTGTAAAAAAAATTGATGTAAATATACATTGCAACTGCTTTTTCAAACACGATTTTATCAGGTTGGGCGAGCGCCTGGAGATCTGTCGCACAGGTCAGTTGCTAGTATAGACTCCAGTCTCTCGCAAAGGTACTCTATTATTTAAGCATTTTCATGTAAATTACATTATAAAACTTTGTACCCTTTGTAAGAGTAAAATAAAGATTATTGTTATTATCTAGAGAGCATTGGCTATAGAGTCATCAGCCTAACTCTTAGAGGATAGAAAAAAATAAACGAAACTCAAATCGTAACACTACGGGTCGTATTCCAGAAATCTACTCAGTGGTCAAGTCAGGACTTGAGTATGATTTCAAGAACTGGAAATACGACTGATTCTGATTCGAAGTCCTGTCTTGAACATGTTGAGTAGAGTTCTGGAATACGGCTCTAGAACTGTGACTTTAAAAACCCGCCATTTTTTCTTTCCAAGATTTACGTTCGGATACACGACATGTATTTATTCAGAGTAAATTGAGTAGATCTAAATATGAAAGACAAAGACAGAGCTATGCATTCCTTTAATTTAGTATTTCTTTTTTATGTTATTCATGTGTTAAAATGAAATGAAATAGTCGAATCGATCGTGGATGACGCTTTGAGAATTCTGTCGAATCTGTGCAATTAATTTGCTCTTGAAATATAAAAAAAGTATAATTTTCTTGGTAATCTTCAATACGAAGTAATGTAATTATCACGAATTTCATGCCTAAACGGTCATGAGAAATAATTACAATATTATATATGGTTAGCTTTAGCTAGATCTGTTTAAATGAGCTTCGTTTTGTGATAGTTGTTTTAATTTTGTCACATAAACATGAGTAAAAGACGCCGGGCATCTTCCGGCGCGAGTCGTGGGGCTGACGGAGATGACAGTGACGATATTAGCGAAGTAAGCAACCCTGGTCCGCCACCTTCAACTCGAAAACGGAAGAAGTTGGATCCTGTAAGTACCCGTACCTAATACCTATGTATTATCTGCCGGCATTACATACGATACATAGAATATATGTAAGGATTGTTTTATTCTTTAAATAAATTGTGTCCTCGGCTCCTGCAGGATCTGCACTGTAGTGTACATGTAATATCTCATAAGTTATTAGCTTTATAAATATTAGGATGGTTACTTTGATTTCTCATCACCCGATATAGGTTTATGCAGAGTAGAAATGTAGAATAAAATCCAGTATAATAATTTGCAGTATTCATAGGGAGGATTTATCCACATTAAATGTATTGCTCCTTTGAAGTTTCTGTAAATTTACTTGGCAGATTCTAATTTCTGCCCTTCATATTTTTTTACGATACCAAGTCACTGGAAGAACACGGTTGTGGCTGGTGGTAAGCGACACACCTATCCAGAAGGTAGTTGTACATCTATCCAGAAGGTAGGTTGCAGTGGCCCTCAGAGATTTAAGGTGCAAAGATCTGAGGGTGCTGCTACTGTACTCGTCTTTCCCGAGTCATAAATTGATAAGTCCTATGCGCCTGTAATTTCACCAGTACCGTTACCTTCCAAAACTGGGACGCATTAAAGTTCACATTACTGTGTGGCGGCAGAAATAGGTAAGGTGGCAGTACTTTCCTGGATGAAATCTTACACAAAGAGCTCTACTGCTATTAAAATATATCATATTATTCACATACAACTTTTGAGTTTACAGTATTCTCCAAATATAGTATGAATTTTAACTTAAAATTGTTTTTCTTTTTCAGGGTGACCTATGTCAGCAATTGTATGACACAATCCGTTCATTCAAGAAGGAGGATGGTTCGTTGCTATGTGATTCTTTCATTAGAGCTCCGAAGAGGCGGCAGGAGCCACAATATTATGAAGTTGTGTCACAACCAATCGATTTATTGAGGGTACGTTTTTGTTGTTACATGAGGTGTTTTCTACAATGTCACATTATAGAGCCTTAGTGCAGATTATGGCATCTGTCTAGAAGGGAAAAGTATGTATTATAATTCTTGAAAACTATTAGAACCACTGGGGATTGGCCTGCGAGCTGTGATTAAAATTCATAATAATATATAATATAAAGACAATAAAACAATATTTGAAATATCGGAGCAAAATAATTAAGTAGGCTCTACTTAAAATTCTGACCAGAATGAATATGCAAAAGTTTATATTTTGAATTGATTCAACTATATATTCCAGGTAAGAATCAAGAAGAGGGTTTTGGCCAAAATATTACCGAAACACCCCAATATGGGTTGACAAATTTCCTTTGTCAGATTCAACTAAATCGGCACATGTTTTTAGAAGTGTGTAAATTCTGTGTAAGGCTCATGCTAGCACTCAAACTTAGATACAGTATTTAACAGCGAAACTTTTAAGTTACGGATATTATTTCAGGTGCAACAAAAGTTAAAAACTGATACATATGAGGATATAGAAGAGCTGACTTCAGATATTGAGCTTCTTGTTAATAATGCTAAGGCGTTCTATAAGCCGGACAGTGTCGAATACAAAGATGCTATTGAGCTTTGGAAGATCTACATGCAGAATAAACAGGCTCTTGAGAATGGTGAGATTCTATTTAATTCAATTGCTGATTTTTTGCCTTTCAACTTCAACTTTTGTATCTATGGCTCTGTCGTTTTGCGCGACGATTTCGCCAACGTCAGGGTTAAAAGACATGTAGTGCGGTGGTGAGATAGATTGCCGGTTATTAAAATACTTAGGCGGTTATTATGCACATTGACGGTTATTTAAATATATATATTTTTTAATGACATTACAAAAATATAATTTGAGGGCTCATGTTATTTTCTTTCTTTTGGAAACATTTCAGGAAGTTTTATTTAGCGGGAAATAAAAAATAAAATCGTTTAGTAAAAGAAAGTTATTGCCTTTAGAACTTTAGGACACTGAAACGATGATGCATGTACATGTATTGACTTGATGGTTGTCACCATCAGTCAGTTTGTAACCTTTCAAAAGTGACATTCATATTAGGAAATTCTGAATTGTTTTTAACCGACTTCAAAAAAAGAAGGAGGTTCTCAATTCATCTGTGTTTTTTTTTGTATGCATGTAACGCGATAACTGTGGCATTTGTGAACTGATTTTGATGATTCTTTATTTTGTTGGAAAGAGGGTACCTCATTAGTGGTTCCACTTAAATTTAAAGACAATTTTCCACGTCTAGGGTGGCGAACTAGGGGATGAATCTGGTTTTGAGCACTTTCCGTTAACAGATGTCAATAAAAATTGGCAAATAGATGTTAATTCTACAATTTTTTTAGTACTCTGTACTGAAATTATAGTTATGTTTAACTATGTTAGCTTTCTCAGATGGTCCTCAAATTATTATGTAAAATGGGACATACTCTCTCAGTGTGATCATATTGACATAATCGCTGATAGCGTAGAATATACATATATGTAAGGAGACTTGTAAATTTATGGAATTAGAATGGTTATGGTGGTATAGAAATAGATTAATTAAATATATTTATAATTATCTGTTTATGACATGTAAGTGTGTTGGCTATTTAGCTGTAAGTGTGCGATGTAAATGAATGAATAAATAAAAGAAAAGAACTTGATATTATGATAAAATTTCAGGTGAAGAACTAAAGACACCAAAACAAGGTAGAAATGGCTCATCAAGTCGTCGGTCTGATATTGGAGAAGATATGTCTGAGACATCTACTAACAATGAGGAGGACAATGTTTTTGAGGAACTTTTTAATGCAGTGAGTGAATAGTCTACCTTAACATTATAGGATTTTGGTACAGCCAATAGCACACTTTCTTATTATCATAAGCAGCATATAGAGTTGAGTTTGAATCTTAAGTGTGAAGCTAGACATGCTTTTGAACCTGAATGATAACTTTCTGGTGATGTTGTTAATAATTTGTCTGTTTCCGTATTCCCAAATTGGTCCCTAGCACCCCCCAGGGGGCATTGAAGGGTCCTTTGGAGGTGGTGCCTCAGAAGAAATTGGGGGGTGTTGATGCTGTACTACCGCATTTGAAAAAAAAACTGAATTATGTTTAATAAACTACATTAAACATTTATATATACATATATTTTTTGTGTTAATATAAAAAAAAATGTGCTTTCAATAAATTTTTTGTGGTGGTGGGCGTTAAATTTTTTTTATCTAGACTGGGTGGGCGTTGAGTTGAGCTACTCGTATATTGTTTTCTTTGTCACAAAAACGTGTAACTTCAAGTTTTGATGGAATAAAATTTACATTGCCGCATTCTGAATGTCATACACTATGTTGTACATGGTTTTATTTGATTACATTGTAGGTAATGACGGCAAATATAGACGGTCGTCCGCTGTATCCAGCTTTCCAATTTCTACCCTCGAAACGTCGCTATCCGGAGTACTACAACGTCATAGAACAGCCCATAGATCTCAAGACAATAGCACAGAAAATACAATGCGGGGAATATCCCACTTTGGGTGATTTGGAGAAGGATATGCTGCTAATGGTCAGGAATGCCTGCCATTTTAACGAACCAGGCAGTCAAATTTATAAGGATTCCAAGATGTTAAAGAAGGTATGTCTTTGTTTAAGCGGCGTAAACTCAGTTATAGTGCTGTTTTTGTGACCAAATTTTGAGTCAAAAGTGCTGAATGTTCCACTACATTTTAATTTTGTTTGGGATTTTGCCCTTAATTTTATTTTTAATTTTGATTTTGAGTTCAATTGTATTATGATGTTAGTCGAAATAAATTATTTATTGTTATTATTATTATTTGGTAATTTTTGAGTCAAAATTTGGTCACAAGAACACTCACAGTATGTGGGTAAGGTGTAATAAACAAGACCTAAACAAATTGAATGTAAGAAGTTTATTAAACTGATTACACAATGTGTGTTACAAAATGTGTATAATTATTACATTTATCTGTTTTAAATCTCGTTTTTTCCATGACCTAAAAGATAAATTTTGAATTTTTAATGGGGGAGAGTCACCTGGTATGTAAATCGTGACATATATATGACATATATCTAAATAGACGCCGTAAGTGTACCTACTTCGTTTGCCTAATGTAAGCTATAAACGCTTAGTTGCCGCTTTCAGAACGCGCCCGGCCGTTACCGTAATTAAACATCAGTCGAAAACGCGAAAAATGCCTAATTGTACCATTAGAAACTGCAAAACCCCCACAGTTGTGAGAAGATAAATAAACTAAAAAAAATTTATTAATTTGTTCTAATGCAAGACTAATCATTTGTATATTTTAAGCATCTAAAGTCTTAAAAATGTATATAAAATGATTTTAATTTTTCTTATAATCTATTTCACCGTCTAACTCCGTAAACGCTGTTGGATAACGATATCGTATCCGAATTGAATGTTCTGAATAGCTCGGAATCCAATCCTAAGATTCGGTTAAAATATCGAAGAGTTCTGAATCGGGGTCCTGATCGATTTAGAAAACAAAGAGATAATAATTTTTAAGATCTGCTTTTAGCTTTGCGGAGATCCTTTTTTTTCAAAACACGTGTTAATAAAGGATTTAATTATTTTATTCTGGTATAATTTTACTATATTAATATTTCACTGCTTCTTATTTATAGTCCAAAAATACTTGACAAAATCATTAGTCTAAACACGTTCTGCGTCCGCGTCTTCGATTTAATATTTTTTTTTGGCACACACTGCCCCGCACTAGGAAAACCCTTTATCGCGGGTGCCTTGGACATACACAACCACAAATTACATCCAAACTCACGAGAGAAATAAATGAAGGCCATACAAATATTCTTCCCGGCCGGGGGATCGAACCCGGGACCTCTGCGTGACAGTCCAGTCGCTTTAAGTGCCGAAGGAGGTTTCCTATCACTAACTAGCGCTTGTGACGTCATCGGAGGTACAAAAAATGTGGCACGCTTGGTTTTCACATCGATGGCGGTACTTGCCGTGTTTATAGAGATATATGTCTGTGGTAGGACGTATTAATAGTGCTTTAGTCGTGCGCGGAACACGCATGACCAAGTCAAGGCGTCGGTGACAGGTGATCCAAGTGCGTAAGCAGGAGATCGAGCAACACGGGCGCGGCGGGCCGGCCAAGTCGTCGGAACGCATTCGCAGCAAGCGCACGTCGCGACTGGGGCCCGTGCCCTCCAGCCGAGCGCTCGCCATCATGGACGCGCCGGGTTCGGATCCCGAGCAGGTCAAGGTAAGTTATTCTTTATTATGAGCCCCTTTTGTCTTTAGATTCCCTTTGGGGTAGGCAGAGACCATCATCGCCATTTAGCACAATTCTGCTAACCTGCCTTCACATTCATCAATCTTTTCCTACAGGCGCTATTAGGGCGCGTTCAAATTAGCCGCTGTTACAAACGTTGCAGCCTCGCGACTGTCCCTGACTGTCACTGTTGCGACTAACCTCGCTGCTGAAGTGCGACCAAATTTTTAGTTACGCGATGGATTCTGACAAAGAAACATTCTTTGTCAGAATTGGTTTGTTAATGTTTCCTTTATTTTATGTTTTGGATCCATGACTTTCAATCAAATAATAAACATAGAAAATGAATGTAAACAGTATACAATGATAATATCATAAATAAAGATGTAGTGATACCCTCTGAGATATATATATATACAATAGAACTGCCCATAGTGTGTGTAGTAACAGTAGAGCTCCTTGTGAAAGAGTTCATCCAGGCAAATACTGCCACCTTACCTATTCTACCGTTAAGCAGTAATGTCAGTATTACTGTGTTCCGGTTTTGAAGGGTAGGGGTGCTGGTGAAATTACTGGCATATGAGACTTGTCAACTTATGTCTCAGGGTGACGGGTGCAGTGGCAGTGCCCCTCAGATCTTTGCGATATACAGCTATGAGTGGCAATGCAACTGTTATGGACTGGCGTGTAGCTTACCATCAGGCGCACGACTTGTTCGTCCCGTCACTTGATATTATAAAAAAAAGTTTATGACATTTGGTGATTTGGCTACGCTATTGCCTTAAGTTAGTCCTATAATGGTAGTTACTAGCTTGTGTATGTAAATAAATAAGTAACAATAAGTAAACATTAAAGTGTTTTTTGTAGCATTCAGAAGAGAGCGATAGCGAGGAAGAGAAGATGGAGAACGAAGACTCGCCGCAATGGAAGTTGTTTGAGACCATCAAGAACCATCTCGGACCTAATGGTAAATTTAATAACTTACGTAATATTGTTCTATGTAATATAATAATCTAGTTTGTTTGTTGAATTCTTCGAAGATTTGTGGCGTTGTCAGCTTGTCCTGCACCAAGAGGTGTATTTAAGAAGACTGAAAACTTATCATATAAATTGAAAAATATGTTGTAAAAATAAATAATAAGTATATAGTATTATGCAAGCGGAAACTGTTTAAGAGCACCACTCAGTCAAAATCTACTGCGCAGTTGCATAGTGTTTTAGAAACCCCAATTTTGTGGCATGCACGTTTTCTATCAGATTCCTATAGTTTAAACTAATATAAATGTGATGGTAGAACACCGGTGTGATAAATATTTGAAAATTTCAGTGTATGTATAGTGGTAAATTGTGTGATTTTCGTACGGATAAACATAAAAAACATATTTTTTTATAATACCAAGTGACGAGATGTACAAGTCGCGCGCCTGATGGTAAGCGACATGACTGTCTCTAGCAGTTGCACTGCCACCGCACCCGTGCGCCTTACATAAATTGACAAATCCCATTGTACCTGTAATTTCACCAGCAAATCATAAATTAACTGCCTCCGTGGCCGAACGGTTACCATGCCGGACTGCCACGCAGAGGTCCCAGGTTCGATTCCCGGGCCGGGAGAAATAGTTGTATGGCCTACAATTATTTCTCTCGTGAGTTTGGGTGTAATTTGTGGTTGTGTATGTGTGTGTCCATGGCACCCGCGACACAGGTTTTTCCCTAGTGCGGGGCTATGTTGAGTGTGTGCGTTATTTATTTAAAATTTAAAAAAAACAGTTTTTCAAAAATTATTATCCAACTAACCTAGTAGTTCGAAAAAACCATAAACAACACATTTCAAAATATACACATAGCTTCATTTGTATACGATATTTGATTTTAATTTTTTCCGTTTTAATCAATACGGCATGTCACAAAATTGGAAATTATAAAACACTGCATGTCGTCGTATTTACGAGACTCTTGCAGGCTTATAGTGTAAAGCGAAACTTTACAGCCGTGTTGCAAATAAAGACAATATTAATGTTACCTTGTTGTCTTTCCCATTACATTGTTATCCGATCGTATGAATATTTTCTGATTTCAAAAGAAATGTTTTTTAGCACATTTAACCTTTCACAGATCGATCAATGTCCGAACCCTTCTGGAAGCTGCCATCCCGTCGCGCCTACCCAGATTATTACAAAGAAATAAAAAACCCCGTGTCACTAAACCAGATCAAGAACAAAATCCGTAGAGGCAGCTACGGCACATTGTCTGAAGTGGCCGGAGACATGAACATTATGTTTGAGAACGCCAAGCAATACAACGTGCCATCTTCTTTGTTGTACAAACATGCTGTTAAATTGCAAAGGTGAGTTAATAATAATAATAAATTAATAACGCACACACTCATAGCCCCGCACTAGGGAAACCCTGTGTTGCGGGTGCCATGGACACACACTTAGTAGAACACCTCAAATTACACTCAATCTCACGAGAAAAATAATTGCAGGTCATACAAATATTTCACCCGACCCGGGAATCGAACCCGGGACCTCTTCGTAGTAGACCATTATGGTAACCGTTCGGCCACTGAGGCTGTTAAATATATACTAGTAAGTGACACTAGTAACACCTTTATGTTATTGATTCCACGTCTAAAAACGGGGATTTTATATTAGTTCTATGAATCGAAACTCCAGTATGATAATTATGCAACAAGCTTATTTATATTAAAAAGCTTAGTCGTTGTCGTCGGAAAATACATCACATCGAAAATGCTTTACAAACAATTCGTGTCGCACACTTATTTATTTATTTCTATTTACAACCTCTAACGAGCGAACACTAAGACAGGCATTGATCCCGTCTGTTTTACTACTTTCCCTTCAATGTGTACCTGGTTCTGATTGGTCAGCGTATAACAAATAGTGACGTTTTGTATATTATAAAATAAAATCGAATAATTAGCGACGAAATTAAGGAAATCACGACTTAAGTGACGGCGTTGGTACGTGAAAATAAAGCCATAAGTTTATATTACGTTTGATTTTGCAATCGAAATTTTAATCAATGTGCTACCGTCTAGCGGTTAATAGCTGAACGACGACGAATTCGAGATGTTTACTAAGTTCTCCATAAAAGAAGTGGCTATATTACAGCAGTATAAGGTTTACTTTTAACAAAATTATTAAAATAATTAGAAAATTGAATATTTATTAAAATTAAATAAGATAAGACTTAATGATGATACAAAACACCACTATAGATAATATTACAAGAGCAACTATCATTTTTGCACTGTAAAATAGCTAAATAAAGCATTTTTCTACGATTTTCGAAGTTTAACACGACCATAACGTACAAAGCGAACACGGCGGACTGAGCTCAAGTTTACGGAACTCCGCGGACTGTTGGCACAAGTACCATGCGAACTAAGCACTTCTACTGTATTTATTTTTCTGTGTATAAATGACTGGCTTTGAAACTTTGACTGAAACTTTCATTTAGAGGTGAAAAGTATAGTTTATTTTTATTACAACGAATTTCCGTTTCTCAGGTTAATGCAACAACGCGTCCAAGAGCTATTAGACATCCAACAGAGTTCGTCTAGTGATGACGAGAGCCTGTCGTCGGTTAAGAACCAGGCTCAGGCGAACACTCCCAGACCTAGAGGTATGTTGATTGTCCATACGGCATTACTTCAAAGAAAACCTGGCGTTTCTTGCGTGTTCCACTCGGAGGCGTCTGCCACCTTTATGATTGCAGTTATTAACTGTGACAATTAGTCAGTTAAGAGATTGGAAACAAAAACCGAAAGAAAAATAAACTTGAAAATGCTGGCAACCGAATCGACTCGACCCTAAACGTTTTCAGTAGAGCTCCTTGTGAAAGAGTTCGTCCAGGGAAGTACTGCCACCTTACCTATTTCTGCCGCCAAGCAGTAATATGAGCTTTACTGCGTTTCAGTTTGTAAGGTAAGGGTGATTGGTGAAATTATAGGCACATGGGACTTGTCAACTTGTCTCAGGGTGACGGGCGCACTGGCAGTGCCCCTAAGATCTTTGCGATTTAAAGCACTGACTTTCACTGTAACTATCATGGATAGGCGTTCCACTTACCACCAGGCTCACGACTAATGCGTGCCGTCACTTGGTGTTACATAACTGTATCGTGAAATTTGATTTCTTTCCAATATCACCATGTATAAGCCAAAGTTTCTATCTACTGAAAAAATGTGATTTTTTCATGAATTGGTTATGCGCTTTTTGATAAAAACCACTTTGTATGTACGCTTACGGGCTTAAGGCTTTCCTTGCTCCCATGTTACTGTCTTCGAACGTCTTAATAAATTTAAAAAAAAAGGCTTTTTAAACAAATGTGAATTGGCTACCTAAGTCCACGAGCTTCAAAAGCAGCGTAATTAAGCAACATCGATGATAAAGTTGACGAGAGAAAAGCCGCCTATCCTCCGCCATTAACTATAATTAAGTTGGCATATGTCACCTGCCCTCAATGTACACAAGGGATCGCTGTGAAAATTGGCTGCTATGACCGAACACGATCGAATAGATAGAGACGTCAAAGGTTTACTAATTCTATGTAAATCATCAAACTGAAATTAGATTATAACTTATTTATTTAAAAAAAACCGACCTCAAAGTTTACTTTTCGGCTTTTTATTGGTATTACTCTAATGTGCCAAGTTTTATTGGAATCGTTTAAACGAAAGTGCACGAAACCGGATTCATCCCCTAGTGTGCCTTTTGGGGTGGAATATTTTCTTTAAATTCAAATGCGACCTATATTGAGGTATTCTCTTTTCACAAAAAAAAAATCATAAAATCGGTTAACAAAAGCCGAGTAATCGCGTAACAAACACAAAAAATACAGTCGAATTGATAACCGCGTCCTTTTTTGAAGTAGGTTAAAAATAAATAATACGACTTTTTTTTCTACAGGCCGTCCCCGTATCAACCCAGCCCCTATGTCCGCCACCCCAATCTCCTCCCCGCTTCCCAAATCCAACCTCCCCCTCAAGAAGAAGCTCCACTACATCGCCAGGCAGCTCGTCGAGTTCACCTGCTCCGACGGTAGACAGCCAATGCTCTTGTTCATGGAGAAACCTAGCAAGAAACTGTACCCGGATTATTATACGGTCATTGATCGGCCCATCGATATGATCACCATTGAGGCTAATATAAAGGTATGTATTGTTAGCAGTAGAGCTCCTTGTGAGTGGTTGTCCAGAGAAGTACTGCCACCATACCTATTTCTGCCGCCAAGCAGTAACATGAGAATTAGTTCCGGTTTCGAAGTGTAAGGGACAGGCACATGGAATTTTTTAACTGCCCCAGTAACCGAATGTTGGTTACCAAGCTGGACTGCCACGCAGAGGTCCCGGGTGTGGTTTCTGGGCCGGGAGAAATATACAAATATTCTTACAATCTATACATGATGTTATTAGTAATCAGTCCGAAACGATTACTGCCAAATATACTCGACCAAAGTAAAAAACGCATGATGCGAAAGAAACTTCACTCTTGACATTGTCTTTTGATTTTGTCTTATTTGAACTTATTTGTCATTAATTGTTTCGGACGAATGTTGGACGGTGAACGGGAGTACACGCCGTTGTTCGAAATTCAAACGGACCAATCAAATACCATTAACTGCCTCCGTGGCCAAATGGTTATCTATATTGAAAATTGGAATTTGTACAATCGGGTAAAACTTTTCCTTCGACGATAATAATATTTCTGTATTCCAGCAGTTTAAAAACAGAAATGCAACGTGTTTCGAATTATGTGTCCGGGAGTATATATTACTCATTACTTGCATTTTTTTGTTTAACTTTTTCACAAATTAGTGTAAGATACTGTATTAATTACCACAAAAACCCATCGACTTCCTGCCTACATCAATTCAACAGACAAGAACGTTCACGGAAATAGTATTTATCTGAAAACTCCACTAGCGCCATCTAGTACGTGAACGTGACCATATAAATAATTTCATTTACAATGAGTATTCGCCAAAACCTAAGAACTCATTTTGCAACTTATTGTCAATAATTTTATTTCCCAGAACGATCGTTACAACTCAATGGAAGAAATGGTGTCCGACTTTCGCCTAATGTTTTCGAATTGCCGCCAATTCAACGAGGAAGGTTCAATGATATACGAGGACGCGAATCTCCTTGAAAGAATCATGAACGAGAAGTTAAAAGAGGTGAACAGTGGACAGGAGCGAAAAACTCCTATCAAGACCTTTAAGGCTGCGAAGTCGAGGCAATTATCGCCTTTTGAACAGAAATTGAGGACTTTGTACGATGCTATTAGAGATTTCAGGGATCCTAAAGGTAAGATATTCTAAAGGGCTTTTTATTATAGAAACTTTGAAATTCTCCAAAAAAACATCTCAAACAGAAAACATCGAAAAAGGGAACTTTTGATAGGCGTTACTTCAAAACAATAAATACAGTAGAAGTGTTTAACGTGACACGAGTGTCAACAGTAAGCGAAGTTTCAAATACTGAAGCTCGGTTCGCCATTTTCGCTTCGTGCGTTATGATGATCCTGTCAATTATCTCGTGCAACACAACAAAAATCTTAGAAAAATGTCTTATTTTACACCTTTGGAGTGCAAAAATGACAGTCGCACTTGTAATATTGTCTATGGTGGTGTTTCATATCGTCGTTAAGTCTTATTTTTATTTAATTTTAATTACTACTTTTCAATTTTCTGCTTATAGTAATATTTTTTTGTTACAATAAATGAAAGTAAACCTTATACCGCTGCAATATGGTCGCTTCTTTTTTGGAGAACTAAGTAAATGTCTCGAATTTGTCGTCGTTCAGCTATCAACCGCTAGATGGCAGCACATTGATTGAAATTTCAATATAAAATTAAAACATAACTTGCAATGATAGGTATTGAACGTTCAACGATGTGCCAACAGGATAAAGTTTAAATTATGTTAACCGTTTAGAATTGGTTATTTCTTTTTAAATTGGAAAATACGACCTATCGTTGTCAAGATTTCATATTGTTTAAAATTATGATGTGCGAGTTTTGGCGACAGCGGTTTTGAAAATAATCGAAGCTGTTTACTTTCGCATCCGCTAAACGCCTATTACAGTTACCACTTTCGCCCCCTGTTTATTCAAACGGTAAACCTGTAGGTAAATATGTGTTTACTGCATTGACTTACAATTATATGGACGTCGGGTCCGCGCTAAAAAGTGTC